GCTCTGCACCGTGGAGCCTAGCAACCTCCACGAGACCGTCTGTGTTGTCCGTCTGTAACTGCAACTCAATCAAGTTTTCCTGCCTACACCACTGCCATCTCGGTGTAAGTAAACAATCTTTAAAACTACCGCTACGCGTTTGTGCCTAATTCCAGCTTGACGGCCTTCCCTCTCCGACCCGGCGTGCCCGGGCTGCTGGCCACAGCCTGCGTGCAGCGCGGAAAAGGGCTCGGGTCGCTCCCGGCCCGCACAAGTGCCCCAGAAGTCAGTCCTGGAGCCAGTTTTGTTTAATGTCGCCATCAACAATCTGGAAGATGGGATGGAGTGCATCTTCAGCAAATTTGCAGATTACACCAAACTGGAGGAAGTAGTAGATATGGTGGAGGGTAGGGCTAGGAATCAAAGAGACCTAGACAAATTGGAGGACTGGACCAAAGGAAATCTCATGAAGTTCAGTAAGGACAAGTGCAAAATCCTGCATTTAGGACAGAATAATCCCATGCACTAGTACAGGCTGGGAACTGACTGGCTAAGCAGCAGCTCTGCAGAAAAGGACCTGGGGGTTACAGTAGACAATAAGCTGAATACGAGCCAACAGTGTGCCCTTGTTGCCAAAAAAAGCTAACAGCATACTGAGCTACATTAGTAGGGGTGGTGCCAGTGGACAGAGGAAAGTAAATATTACCCTCTATTTGGCACTGGTGAGGCCACATCTGAAGTACTGGGTCCAGTTTTGGGGCCCCCACTACAGAAAGTGATGATGTGGAAGAGTTGGAAAGTCTAGCATAGGGCAACAAACAGGTAGGGGGCTGGGGCACATGATTTCTGAGGAGAAACTGATGGAACTGGGATTATTTAGTTTGGAGAAGATAAGACTGAGGGGAGATTTAATTGCAGCCTTCAAGTATCTGAAGGGTGGTTGCAAAGGAGGATGGAGCTGGACTGTTCTCAGTGGTGGCAGATGACAGAACAAGGAGCAATGGTCTCAAGTTGCAGCAAGGGAAGTTTAGGTTAGATATTAGAAAAAAACTCCCCCACAAGGAGGGTATTAAGGCACAGGAACAGGTTACCCAGAGAGGTTGTGGAATCTCCACCCGTGGAGGTTTTTAAGACCCGAGTAAATAAATCCTTGACTGGGATGATATAGTTGGGGATAGTCCTGCTTTGAGAAAGGTGTTTGACTAGTCGCCTTCTTGAGGTCCCTTCCAACCCTAATTTTCCATAATTCTGTGATTTGTGATTATTTTTTAAAGTCTGTCTCTAGCCAGGAAATGGATGCCCAGAATGTAAGATACTCATAAGCAAGGAATTTTCCTGAGGCAAATTTTAATCAGCAAGTGAACTCTATGGCTGCGTCTACATGAGCGCAGATGTTTGCTTCCCCAGAGACAAGAAGCAGTGGCAACTGTGCTGGCCCCAGCAGCCTTACCTGGAGTCCTGGGAAGCTGCAACCACGGCACTCCTGTAGCTAGGAGTCTGCCTCCCATTTTGGGTGGCATGTGCTGCTGCCTCATGCACCCCCTTTTTTCCCCCCGCATAAGTTATTTTGTCCCGGTATCTGCTGGGGTCAAAAAAACCTCCCATGCTGCAAGGTAGCAGCAGCACGGAGAACACCTGAATGTGCAGTGTGTGGCTAGGGTTTTTGAAACAATACTATTGTATCTGCTGAAATAACAATATTTCAGTTTATTTTTGTATTTGTAAAGCATCTAAAAATTTTTTAAAAGCATGAGAAGATTTTTTTCCAAGCTCCACATCACAAAATGCATTAGGTTACCTTGCCGCTTTCTGTGTTTCTTCTGAGAGCCCTTCTTCTTTCACCAGTTCCTCAAAATTCACGATATCTTCAAGATCAGGAACAAACCTACATTGTTATTGTATATTAGGTTTATAATTCAGTTCTGATTACACTCAGTCACTTAATCACCACCATCATTTGTCTTAAAGGTTTTACAGTGCTTTGCTCTTGCTTATACCAAATCTCCAATCATTTTCTTATGCAAGCTATCATCTCCATAACCAAACTCACTCCCACTTCATCATCCTTTCACAAAATGTTTTGCCTTTTCCCCACCACCCTGCCCCACTCTTCCAGCACCTTCTCCCATACTTCTTAATACACATGCCTCCCTGTTTCATCAGAAAAATGTCTTTTAAACAGTGATACACTATTTCCACACCACTCAAATGCATGGTACAGGAAGAACCTTACTGTCTTCCCTTCCTGCAGGTCTTTTCTGGTTTTTTTGCAGCAGTGACTATTTTTTTGTTTTTTTATAATGCAGTAAGACTGCCTGAATTTAATAAGTTCTCCAACTGTGAACAGCCAGAGGAGCTGCTGCAATGGCAGAACTAAGCAGCCCAGTGCTTCAAGTATGAAAGCATGAATAACACCATGAAATAATGGTATTAAAATGTGTGTGGGTACCTAATTGCACTACTACAGCAGTGAAGTCCACCAGATCTTATCATTCGCACATAGCCCATGGCATTGCCTTTCAAAAAAAGAAAGAAAATGAGAGTTAGATATTTACATATGCACATTTCAAAGTTCTTATTAATTCTGAAAGACAGATTCAGATATCCTTTGTAATACAGTTATGCTCTAAAGCTGACTGCAAAGAGAAAAATTATGTTGATGTTTCACAGTTTAATGGCGCACAGTGAAACTAGAAAAATAAAACGTAACTTGCTCATCTCATGAGCCTGTGTTCATGCAATGTGTATTTTCACACTTAACTGAAGGCCAACATTCTATAAACATTTACTCCCTAATATAAAAATAATATAAAAATTACATACTCCATATTTGGGAGTAAATGCCTGCAAACTCAGACCTTAAATGCCGATTTCATTAACAGCCAAAGGTGTTTCATCCACATATTTTGAAATATCCATATTCAAGAGTACTTTTCCCTATACTGGAAAGATACTAAATCTGGACAAAAAATGGGTTCTTTTTTGCATAGTTGAAGGAAGAAAGTATCAAGAACATTCACAGGAGGCATAGATGGATTTTGTTATGGCCATCAGGGCCCATTTTTGTATAAGCAGGTGAAAGTCCATTTCCTTAACACAGTGCGCCCATTTGTGCTAGGATTAGACATAGTCCTCAACCTTAGCACTTTAGTTTCTAGATTATGAAGACATATTGACCCCATATTTTTAGATAGTGTTGCATACCTATTTGGCTTATGAGCTGCCTGAATTGGTCGAGGTAACTTTGTCCATCAGGTGTTATTCCAAGTTTTCTGATGCCCCGGTTGAACTTTTCTGCCCTCTCAAAAGGGTACTAGAGAAACGATATCAGCATAAATAAAAAAAACATATATTAGTTTTTAAAGACTATAACTGACTTTTCATGGAAAAGCTATTTCACAGTCTCTTTCCACCCCTGTCATCTACATTGCCTAATCTTTTGCAAACATGACAGTGTTCAGACTACAGCTAAAACTTAATTCCAAGATAGACCATTTATAAAAATGTTATTAACTTTAGTTGTAAACTTTGGGTCTAAATTAAATTAGACAAAAATTGTACTAATCATCAACAGCTTAACAGAAGAAAAAACATATCCAGTCCTATGTAAGGTTAAGGAATGATACATCATGTCTGCTGATGAGTATCATCTTAGTTAGCGTTCAGTAAGCAGTAAAAATAAATGAAATCAGATAAAACAGTATAAATGCAGGAATGTGAATTTTTGCCTGTGCTGCATTTTGACAGGATTGAATGTGTCACCTTCCATTAATACATTTAATTAAAACAAAAGGAAAAAAGCTGTGACTTTTGTAGTGTGGCACATGCCAGTTTAGTGTCTCAGAGCACAAAGGCAGCACTGTTTTAAATCAAATTCCCTTTTACCTGATGCATTTACCTTATGATCATTTTGATCCTTCACTTCCCTGAAGAACCGTATATCTTTAATTAGTCGGGATTTGATATGCTCATCATACATGAACTGGCTAAAGATGTAAAACTTTTTCCTCAGAAACTGGTATGTGAAATTCACCTAGATTGTAACAGAAAACCACAGACTCAAAATTAGAAACTCCCTTTCCAATAAACATGTACCTCTAGTGACTACTGTTCAGTAACTTCTTGAATCATTTTAATTCTGTATAACAATGTAAATTCTGCTGCTGGAAAGAGGCTCCACGTTTGCAGGTCTCAGACAAGCTCAGCAATACCTCTCTCACTAAAAAAAAGTCAACCTTCTCTTCATGAAGGTTCAGTTCCCTTTAAAGCAGGTAGGTGACAGAGCAAAGGGAACCTGCCATTTAAAAGATCAGTCTGTGTGCCACAAGAAGTACAGCACCTACAGTTTAGTTTTGGATTATGTAGTTGCTGATTTTATTTATCCCGCTGAAATGATAAAAATGTTCCAAATTGAAGAGGAACAGATTTCAGCTCAATTACTGTCTTCCTTTATTGTACTATCAACTATAGAATTTACTGATGTTTACAGTTTCATTATAACCTACCCTGTTCTTTAAAACCTGTTCAAAGCTTTCTAGAACTATTTACCTATGGGACTAAATCCCACCTTTTTCCAGTAGGAAACCTTGGAGGTTTTCAAAACCCAGCTAGACAAAGCCTTCATGGGATAATATAGCTGGAGATGGTTCTGCTTTGAGCAGGGGGTTGGACTAGATGACCTCCTGAGGTCCTTCCAACTCTAACTTTTTATGAATTTAAGTAACAATTTCCTTGTCTATTTAGACAATTCAGCCCAGACTCAGAGGTAAATAAGAAAGGTGCTCACTTAGCCAGGAAGTGATGGGTGCAGGAAAACAACTTCTGTCACAATAACCAACAGCCAAGATGAGCTATACCAATATTAGAAGCCATTTATGCATTTCCCTCCCCACCCCCTATGTCAAATAACAAGAACTCATTTATAATAACTTTATCATTCCACGTGATACCCTAAGAGAGAGCACTTTTCTTTCTGTATACATGGCTCCTCAAGTTCCTATATTGCCAATGGCATAGTGGAAAGATGAATGAGATGAAGAAAGGGATACACAGATCCTAAGATACTGAACAGCTGTCTAAGATTTGATTTGGTTGGTTGAACTTTCTAATCAAGCTTTGGCACCATACCAAATGTTCACATTATTTCAATTACTCCAAACATGTGATTTACGACTGATAAAAATGAGAAGATTAGGTTCCTGTTGAAATGAACATCTGCAAAGGCTTTCCAGACTCAGCACCCTTATTTAGGAGTCACTACACGTGCAGTTAATGTGACTGAATAAACTCCAGTGCAATTTGAGCCAGAGTAAACTAATCCCAATGCCACCATCTACCCGTGCATTTAAGCGCAGTAATTTACTCTGCCATCAAATAGTGCCCGTGTCTGACAGGACTATCCTACACCGAAGTAAATTAATCTTCTGAGCCTTAACTGCAACGCACATCTATACGGTAACACTTTACTGCACAGTAAATTAGTCTACTGCACAGTAAAGGTCACGTATAGACATGCCCACTTATTCTCAGACCACATAGCCCTACAAGGCTACCAACCTTACTTGAAAAATCACTGAACACTCTACACTGCTGAATAGCATCCACATTTAAAACAGGGAAGTAATAAAACTTGGAGGTCATCATTGACCACAAGATGAACATGAGCCTTCAATGTTATGCTGCGGCTAATAGAAGCAAGCAAAATGCTGGCTTGCATGCATAGATGCTTCTCAAGCAAATCCCGGGACGTCATTCTCCCTTTGTACTCGGCCTTGGTGAGGCCACAGCTGGAGTACTACGTCCAGTTTTGGGCCCCACAATTCAAAAAGGATGTGGAGAAGCTTGAGAGAGTCCAGAGAAGAGCCTCGTGCATAATCAGAGGTCAGGAAAACAGACCTTACGAAGAAAGGCTGAGATCTATGAGGCTCTTTAGCCTGGAAAAGCGCAGGCTCAGGGGTGATCTGATGGCCACCTATAAGTTTATCAGGGGTGACCATAAGAATCTGGCGGAACGTTTGTTCACCAGAGCGTCCTAAGGGATGACGAGTTCGAATGGTTATAAACTACTCCAAGACCATTTCAGGCTGGACATAAGGAAGAATTTCTTTACTGTCCGAGCCCCCAAGGTCTGGAATAGGCTGCCATCGGAGGTGGTTCAAGCACCTACATTGAACGCCTTCAAGAGTAAATCGGATGCTTATCTTGCTGGGATCTTATGACCCCAGCTGACTTCCTGCCCTTCGGATGGGGGGCTCAACTCGATCTTCCGAGGTTCCCTTCCAGCCCTAATGTCTATGAAATCTATGAAAACCACTTATCAATCTCAGCCCAGAAAACAGTGAAAATATTAAGTGACTTTGGCCAAATATGTAAAAACCCAGTGACCTTACTTTATTTTAGAATTTGGGAAATGTAAGTGGTAGTTTGACTATTTAAGTTGAACTATGACAAACTGGAACCACATTTTTTTTTTTTTTTTTTTTTTTTTTAAGACTAATGTGCTTGAAATGCAATATAAAATGGCATCCTAACAAATGTTAACAAAACAGCAATATATAGCACTCAAACTGATTCAGACTTTTAAAAACTAAACCTTATAAACACTTATTTTCATCACTACTACAATCTGGAATCTCACCAGAATATCGCTACAATAACTTTACGTAAGAAATACTAGCAGTATAACAATTCAAAACCCACTGACTGCTTAGTGTTTGCAGACTGCCTTGTTAAATCAAATGCAAAACTAGAATTGTACTAAATATTCAAAGGTCAAGAAATGCTAGAAGTGCATGTACTTTTTATGTTTATTAAACAAAAGCAACAGTGCAAGAGATGCTTACTGTTGTGTTCATGATTCCTGTGCCATGTGTTCTAATTGAATTAGCAATGTGCCGGATATTGATAGTGTTCAAGTGCTTATTATTGCTGGTTCTTTCAATGAAGATCTGCAAAGAAAAGGTCATCATTATTCACTCAGTATCAAAACCAGCAAGTGATATACGTAATACAGGTCTAGACTGCATCTCACCTGATTATTGAGATTGTAGAGGTAGCGCGATACAAAAACATGAATATTTCTCATGATTTCCAAAACATCCAGACCCTGAAACAACATGATCAATTAACAATGTTCATAGTAACAGCTTCCTTGGGAGTTTCAAATGCATTCACAGTAACAATTATCAGTGCAAGTTATTTGAAAGCATTTTTGGAAGCACAGTCCAGTTGCATATCAAAATTGAAACAACCTTTCCTGTTAAATCTATGATGTTACTTTGCAGTTTATTCTGGCCCTCTTCAATATCTAGGAATTAGCATTTTAAGTTTTCATATAATAGTTTTAGATTCCAAGTCAAATGTATACCTATGTCTTTTAATCCATTTGAAAAAAGGGTTCTTTAATCCTAGCTAGTGTATGGAAATAAAAATGGAAAAAAGTGGACTGGTATCTATTTATAAATACAAATGCCAAGATTTACAAATACCTATTTAATTTTTTCTTTCTTATTTACTATTTAATTCGTTTCAAGACTCGAAAGGAAGGACTACAAGTCTCAAAAACAGGAATTTTTTTATTTAATCTCTATCAGGCATTAGCCTTTGGTAAATTTGATTAGACCAAGTTTTGAGAAACTGGCATATAATTCTGTATTCCTGTTTTCAGAGATCTGTTTTTTAAGGGTTTCTGAGGATCCAAAACTCCAATTTCAAGTGAACAGTTGTTATGGGTGTGGAATTCCCTTCAAAGAAAGATAGTCAGGCCCCTCTACTTCCAAAGACAACTAGAAAACAATGATTAACATTCCCAACTGATTTCCAACATGGGTGCTTCAGTTTCTGATTCATTCATATCTTGAATAATAATCTAGTACAACAAAAATAGAAAACAGAAAGCACCCTCCAAGAACTGTACCTGTTCTAAAGTCTGACTAGGAAGATGTGCTTCTGTCATGATCAAACCATAACGCTGAGTTGCTAAGTTTCTCATTTCACTGTATGTAGCCCAGTCATGAAGAGCTACAGTTGTTAGGTTGTAAAACGTCTTGTCTAGGTAGTGTGTCACATAAACTGCAAAAAATCAATAATATAATACGGACTGAATCTCCAGCTGCTAAATAGCAAACAAAACAAAATCTGTTAGTTTAAACAGACATGGCATTAAATATGGCATTCTCTTGGAGAAGACTGTAAAACAAAATAGATAATGGCACATGTAGTATAATACACACAAACGCTCCAGGTGCAAAAAGCCACATGGTCAGCAGTAGGGCTGTGCGAAACTTTGGGTGCTGATTCAATTTGGAGGAGATACGGCCCCATTCAGGGGCTGAATCTCCAAATCCAAATTGAATCGGGGGACCAATAAAAGGTCCAAATCAATTCGGAGAGCTTTGACGATTCGGCCAGTCCCTGCCTGTGGCAGCAGGGAGCTGGAGATGGACTTGGAGCTGGTAAGTAGGGTGCAGGGGAGGGGAGGCTGGGGTGGGGACGGGGGGACCATGGGGGTCCCCCACCAGGCCCCATCCCCTGCTTGCTCCCCCAGCATCCCTCACCCACTCTCCCAGCCCCCTCCCTTGGCAGCCCTGCCCACCCCAGCTCCTGGCCCTTTAAAAAAAGCTCCCACTCACTGGCTGCTGCCTGGCCAGGAGAGGGGTGGACAACACACCCCTGCTGCCCCCACACTACCCTAGGACACATGGGGGCTCTGCCATGAGCACCCCCAGCACCCCCTGCTCCTCCGGGCCTCACCATGGCTGTCCTGCCTGCCCCAGCTCCATCCCTTTAAGAAAAACAAAAATACTTCTCACTCACCAGCTCCTGCAGTGGCCCTAGGGAGCTTGTGCAGAGGCCCCCACGTGTAATGGGGCAGTGGGGATCGCCCCCCTGCCGAACAGGAACCAGCAAGTCTGGGCGGGGATTTTTGGAGGTTTTTTCTTTTTTATCTTATCTTAAAGGGCTGGAGCAGGAGGGATCCCCCCCAGTAGCAGAGTTAGAGCAGTCATTGCTGGGGCTGGGAGAGTGGGCAGGGGATGGGCCTGTGTGATTTGGCAGCAGCTGAATCGATTCAGGACAGTGATTCAAAAAATCACTGAATTGAATCACTGTCCCCCGAATCAGCCAAATCCAAAGCGAATACTAGCCACTTCGCATAGGTCTAGTTAGCAGCAACTACACTGGTAATTTCCTCTTTGCATCATTAGGCCATGGAGGCATGGAAAGAAATAAAAGGAAATAGGGAAGCATAAAAGAAAAAGAAGGAAAATGTTCAAAGGGTTAGCTGGGAAGCAACACGGTAGAGAAAATTAAACAGGCAAAAAAAATCTGTTTATTCCAACCCACCTTTGATATCAATGAAACGATTGAAAAATCGTATTGGGTTCAGACAGAAAAAGTGAGCCAGATCTTTCATCCCAACTCTGAAAGGATTTCTGTCTTCTAGCTGTAGATGTGTGTGCACAGAAAGACGTAGGTCCTTTTCTATTTCTTTACATAATTTGTCCAGTAAATGCTATTGGAAAAGTGAAGAAAAAAAATAATGCTCACTTTCCTTTTACAATGGTGGTTTAATAGAATTAAAAACAAAGCAATGCACGTATGTGGAAGGGCTTTAAACTCCTATATGTAAAACCACACACTCAGGTGCAAAAAGTCTGTAGATTATTGTAGCTCAGAAGATGAAATACAGCAATTTTAGGCCACTTTGCACACAAAGCACAGGCTTCACAGAGCTGGGGGGGGGGGGGGGGGGGGGGGAGGAAGGGAATCGCACCTTTCCTTGATCCAGCTTAACTTCCTTAACATAGAACCTTAGAAAATCCAGTGTCAAAAATATTTCTAACTTGTTGTGGTCTTTCTTAACTCTATGCAACAGAAAAGGCTACTCTACTATTTTTCTGAAGTACAAAAAACCTGAGAAAGCTAAGAGATGGCATCTTCTGAAGGGTGGCTTGATTCTAACAAGGTTAAGAACCACAGCAGTAAGGGCATGTTTACATGACAGAACCTCTGCAGTACAGCTGAGTACATGCCAGCAGAGTCCCCTGGTGGAAATATGTATATGCCAATATGAGGGGGGCGGTTTTGCCATCTCCCTGAATGAGATAAACTAAGCCAGTCAGGAATTTTGCAGAAATAGTTATTTGGCTGGGGGAGAAGGGGATTATTTTTCTAGCCCAAATAGCTATGCATGCAGAACTTTCTACCAAGGGTATATTTCTGTCTCAGCATCTGTAAACCAGAGAACACTTCTCGACCTCAAAAGACTATTGTACATTAATGATAGAGTTCCTTGCATACTATGATAAAGGGAGCTATATACATGCCTGTGATTCTCTAAAATGAACAATGTTTTTGCTTTTAACTATGCCTCAAAGCAGTCTAACAAGATTTCCACTACAGCTTTATGGAAAATCCTAAATTTCAGGCAGTAAAACTGTAACAGACACTCCAATTAAGCCACTGACTTCAGTTCCCATTCACAGTAATTCCAGTACTTGAGCAGTTACCTCATTTAGAACGTCCATGATTTCTTTGTCGTAGCACTCCAGAAGTACCTCATAGGATTCTAAGTGCCTTGCATTCATCATCGCAGGTACACAGTCTCGTAATGCACTAAACATATACTGAAGAAAAAGATTAGAAAGACGCTAACTTACAAACTACAGAACACATACAAATCAACATCTTAAAATAGTGTACAACACCTAACCAGCCTGAGCTAGAGGTCAAAACCTCAAATCTCAAGAATGAAGCTCAACTCCTTTACTTTATTTCAAACAATTCCTCCATCCCCTGCAAAAAAATTAAGGCCAAGTAAAAGACATTACACTTTTGCCAGTATAAGTGATTGGAAACCAGTCTGTACCTGTAGCAGAACAGATTTCAGCATATAAAAGTGGTCTATACCCATAACAGAAGTTCAGCGCACAGACTGATTTAAAATGCCAGAACCCCTGTCGCCCCACCAAAGGACAAATCTGTGTTCTGTTCACTACTGATATAAACTATGCTGCTTATAGAAAATTGCACAACTTAGATTCTGCCTTGGGCTTTTTGAATGTCTGTACCTAGTCTAAGAGTTCATATTTAGCTTTAAGTTTATAAAAAAAAAAAAAAAGAGGATTGAAAGCCATCAGCTTCAATTTTTCTAAAAAGCAAGACAGAGATTAGTTAGCTATTTTGAATAGTTTCTCCGCTATTACTCCCCAAACACCACACCCTCTTCCCACAAGTTGACTTGCTAGCAAAGACCCAGTTTTAAGCTTTTGTCACTTAGAAAAGTGAATTAATAGTATGTGGCAAACGGACGAGTTTAGCGTCTTGGGCCAAGCAGTTCATTATTGGCAGCAGCTAAACTCTGATGCTTCAGTGTTACCAAAAAAAAGGTGTATGTATATAATAGGTGTATGTATATAAATAATACACACACACACACTTTTTTCTTGCAAGCCACATCCCCTAAATAAGACAGGTGCTTTGTTTTTGGAAGGCAGGATAAAGAAAAGAGATTTCCATAGTTGTGGTTGCATGAAGCAGGGACAGAACCTAATCTTCTCTCTCTTTCCATCTCAGGTCAAAATTGGCTAATTCTGCTGTGAAAGGGTTACAACTGTAGCTTTTCCCTGAGCAGGAAAGGGAGGGTGAGCAAGCTGAAGCTCTGTCCCTGCTGCAATTCCACTTTTAAGAGCTTCCTCCTCTCAGTTTTCTTGGCATGCTAACCTGAACCATTAATGTTTCTTTGGGTATTTTTGTTTTTGATTAAACTTACGTGCAATCTAGCTGCATCAACTGCATTTTCATACACATCATCTAAATAAATTGGGAAGACTGCTCGATGCCAGTACAAGAAGCAACAGTCACACTGCACTTTCACTCTAAAATACAAGATACTTATTAATCACATAACACAGCTCAAGAGAGCACATCAACAAGCCTGTACTTTGGCAGTTGTAACCTCTTTGAGATTTTTAATATTTACTTCCCTAGTTTTAGCTTTTCAGGATAACGCTAAAACTCCAAATATGCAAGAACACAGTATTTACCATCCCTCCACTGGCATTTCAAAGGAACTAAATCCTGGATAAATGGATGTCCTTTTTTTGTCACTGTATCTGTAAGCAACCTGTAATTGCTACTGAAATGCTGTTTCAATCATATACTAAAGGAATTTCTTTTCTCTGATCATATACCAGCCATAAAATATGGTGCCACTTATGGACTAATGAGGTTATCACCAATACCAACAGCAGGTTTTGCACTTGAAAATTAGAACATAAAAAAGCATTAAGATATGATGCCATAGCTAATTCTGTGCTATAGTCATGCAAATGGTAGGAAGACCATGATGTAAATTCTCCATACACCAGAAGTATCCGCTTGGATATCCAAATCAAAGATCTACAGAAAACATTTACAAAAAGTAACATTACACCAAGTTACTGCTGAATATTTCACAACCAATTGCAGTCTGAACAGTCGGGAGGAAGAAGTTTAAATAAAATAGAAAAAAAAAAGTGTTGCAGCTAGCTTTACTTTTAACTAGGAGGTGCAAACCAAGAAGGCTCCAGCTCCCAGTAAGTGATGTTTACTGTCAAACTCACTAGAAAACACAGTGGATCATGCAACAGGAACTGAATTTTCCATGAGCTGCATTAACTTATGAAAGAGGAATTCCACAGGCCACGTTCTGACCACCCATCATTACAAAGAACCAGCCAACTGCATGCAGCTAGATGGAAAATAAAGAACTTCCTGCAAGATTTTGTATGTTGGATCATGATATTTTATTTTTAATGCCACTAGTACCCTAAACCTAATATGCTACTACTTACCGTTCTGAAAGTTCACTGATTAAGTCCAGTTTTTTCAGAACTACCTGAAGAGGAAGCAACTCTTCATCTTTAAATGTTTTCTGAAAAAAGGCACCAGAGAAAAATGGAGAAAGTCACTTATTGTGTTTAAATGCAAAACAAGAACTATTTATAAAATGTTCTGGCAAGATGGCTGATCAATTCAGTAATGAACACTGTTTGTTACCATTGATGGTGTGTACAGTAATCTGCACAATGGTGATACATACCATCTGTGTGCCCACACTCAGTGCAAGGGAAACAATTAGCCGTCTCTGTTTTGTACTTGGCCCATTGAGGATATTCTCAGCCAGCACCAGGGCAGAAAGCACATCCAGGCGCTGCTCACTGTACTTCTTGTCAGAAATGACCCTTTTCTTGAAAAGGGGGAGGGAGAGAGAGGAGGAGAAAAAAACACCAAAGTAAGTTCAGTGTTCATGGAAAAGTTACCAAAGCCCCCAAACAGCAATTTCCCCTCTCCTTCTTTTGACAGTTCAACTTTTTTTTCAGTCTTAAGACTAGGCACTGAAACAAAATACACAGTACGTACAGGTTTTGCAGAAACTTCATGGTTTCAAACAGATTTTGTGACTCTATGCCACTTTTGAATTGTGTTATTCCCATTTATGAATTAAAAAAAAGTCTACTATACAAAACATGGAGGTGTTTGGTTCTCTAGAGATGTTTTGGGCTCTTAAATGTATTTAGCAAACCTATGCATATGTATTGTTTACGAACATAATTTATTTAATCCTCACAGGATAAGAAAATGCAGAGTCAGACACAATAAAATGGTTCAAAAAGCATCTTGACGCCTATCTTGCTGGGGTCATCTGATCCCAGAAGTCTTTCCTGCCCAAGTGCAGGGGGGCTGGACCTGATGATCTGTAGGGGCTGGAAGGGAGCTTAACATCTATGAAACTATGAAAATAAATAACAGCATGTAACTCCTTTGGAGGTTAGCTGCAAAAGCAAAACATATATGCTAGCACTTCTCATCAGGACAGCTATGCTGAAATCTTGGTTCATAATGCAATTCATAAAACCAAGATTGGATCAGTAAAGGCTGCAAGCAAAGTGAATTGTCATGCTTCTGGAGAAGCATACACTGCACCTGTGCAACTAGCACCTCCATAAAGCAAGATTAATACCATACCTATTCCTTTTACAGAATTCTGTAACAGCATTACACAAAGATAAAAACAGCAATATTATATATACAAAACACCGAAGCTATTATACAGCCTGACTGTGCATATAAATGTGCTTACTTACACACATACACAATAACAACTCACTTTACTTACCTTGGCTACAGAAATAGAGTTAAGAGCCTGATACTGCAAATACTGAGTGATGTGTGTCACAGAATCAGCCACAACCATACTTCTTCTGTAAAATGTATGTTCTATTGCCTGCATTCAAATTTCAAAAAACAGAGATTAATATTAGTTCTAAGGCAACCACCTCACTGATTTATTTACGCTAACTGCTCTTGTCCACTTGGAAAATGGAGCATTCCTCTTCTGTACCTTTGTAATTTATATTAACTGCAGCTACTGAACATGCAGCTCTTCTGAAAAGACAGAAAGACTCCCCCCCACCCCCCAAAAAACCCAAAAACAATATTTTTAGGTGTTAAGAGTGTTAATAATATTGTTCAGTGTTCATAAAGCGTTAAGAGCCTAAATTAAGCATCCATTTCTTTTTCTTGCTTAAAGGAGAACAGGGTGAGGAGAGAAAAGAAACTGTAGAAGGTGTTTAGAAATTGCATACAACTTATTTTCTTCTCCGACCTCTTCCTTCCCACTTCAATCTAATCTTTATGTAGAAGTTACACCTGTAACATTTTCATTCTTCAGAATGTGATGCTTCATTCTCATACTGCATAAAAGCTTAAATTCAATAAGGAATCAGAACTTGTGGCAGAGGTGATATCTTTTATTAGACCAACTAGATATTTGCAATAAATAAATAAAATCTTTATTTGCAAGCTTTTGGGCATACCCACCCTTCCTTAGGCACAGGAGAATGCAAAGATTGTAAACTTTCTCCTAAGTTCAATAAGTAATTTCAGTGCTGAAGCCTACCTTGAGAAGTTCCACAAGTCTGCATAGTGCTTTCACCGAGGTCTTGGTCATCGGCTTTTGCATTGACATGTAAAGATTCATTGTGGTTTTAATGATAGTGCTGAGGCTGTAAGCATAAAGAAAACCCTAAAAAAAAATGGGTAAAAAATGAAAAAAGTTCAACACTAGATGTCATACAGGTAAATATACCATGTCTTTTTTATTGTAGTTCAGAGACAGGACTTCATACCCTGTATAAGCCCTGCTAGAGCTACCACAGCTCATCCACATACAATTCAGGCTTACTCATTCCTATAGAACTAAAATGTTAAAGCTATTTAGTTTAAGTTGTCTAAAACTGAAAGTCATGGAAGCAACTGATTATAGATGTAGAAATGAACAGATACAATTTAACCATAAGCAAATATATCAAATGTTCACGAACCTAACCGTACTAATCATATCTCAGAATCAAGGTAACCAACGTAACTGTGACAATCTTAAGAAATTAGATTAAAACTAAGAAAAATGGAACAACCCCCAGGAATTAAGTGACATGCAGAAACAGTAAATCACTGTCAATCACCATTTTATTTTTAAAGGAAAACATGTAATTTTCAAAATAATAAATGGTGGAAAAATAAAGTGTCACAGACACCAAGATTTGCAAAATGTATCAGATCAATTTAGGCTACATCTAGAAAGATATTTCTCAAGTACTCAAAACACTGTTTTCAAAGGAAAAGCAAGAAAAAAAAAAACTGAGTAATCATAGCAATTTGTCCATGAAAATGTTGATATACAGAGACCTATGTTGCAAGCAAGTGGGTACATCTACACAAGATGTTTACTGCAGAGCTGACTAATTAGCTCTACAGTAAAATATCAGCATCTACATGTGCAGTGCTATTAGGACAGAGTAAACTAATTAACTCCATTGCAGGATAGTACTGCCAGATACAAGTACCATCCTACAGCAGAGTTATTTACTCTGCTGCAACACTCATGTTAGACTGACAGGCCTGCCCACTAGCCCCACACTGAAGCACTCATGCCCCAGCCAGCTCCTCCACAGCACATTGAGCCTGGTCGGAGTAGCCCCAGGCTGACCCGCTGATCCCTGGGGCCCCCTACCACCAGCGGCTTATCCACCCCAGCTCAACATGCTGTGGTCCCGGGCACATGTGCAAACGGCGTGCCCGGGAGCAAATAAACTCTGCTGTGAACTGTGCTGGAGTTTATTCAATTCCATTAATAGACACTCCCAAGTAAGAACAGAATCTGCTACTGGGATAGCTCTAGATCTCTTTATACGTTCATTCAGCTGCTTTTCCCTACTTAAGAAACAAGTCTTGCAACAAGATTTTAAATGTCAAAACGAAATAAAAAAGTCCATTTTTTCCATAGCCTGAGGATAACAGGACAAATTTTATTTTATCTTGAGTTCTTGAGCTAGCAGAATCCATTAACAAAGGCAGGAGTAAGAAGAGCCATGCCAAGACACATTGGCCATGGACAGATGTTAAATTTGTACCAAGAGAAAAGTGTTTTTCCCAGCACAAGTGAATGCACAGGCGTTCAGAGGATTCTTGTGGAAGAAAACTGGCTCTCTGGCAAAAGAGTTTGCTCACTTCCAACCAGGAAGATCTCCTCTTCCCCTGTTCTCCAGTGCTCAGTTGGACATGCAGTATTCTTCCTCCCACCTTTCCTGGAAATACCCATTTCTACAAAAACTTTTAACTAGACAACCTATTTAATATCATAGGGAAATATCCTGCAGTGACATCCAACTATAAAGGACAATGTAGCTTCTAAGGGTAACATCCCAGGTTTATCCCAGATCTGGTTGTCCCAGTCTGACTTGCATCAAAACAGGCACAGGACAATCATTTACACACTCAGCTTTAATGGTAATTAACTTGAATTAGCCACAACTTTCCCAGGAAAAAGTGTTATCTTGGACACTTTCAAGGTAAAGGCTTTGTCCTGAGAGAACTCCAATGTAGTTTTTACTCTTAGATTAATTTTTATACATGCTAGTTAACTCCCAGTCAACTATCCCGCAATCAGTAAGAATCATATCATAGATTATTCAAACTGTGTCCTATTAAGAAATTAACCACCTGTATAAAGACACTGCATCTACTGGAGAGGTCTTCAGCAAACTTATCCATTCGCTGCTCCCTAGACAATATGGACTCCATTTTTGTCATCCATGAGCTCACAAAGACATAATATGACTGCATCTCTCTGGAGAAAAAAAAAAAAAGAGAAGAGATGTACATTAATTTCCCACTTTTTTCTGAGCCTAAAGGGCTAACTCTTCTAAAGGAAAAGATGTGAGAATATTCACTTTCCAAATGCAATAGTTTTGTCCCCTTTGCAAGTATCAGGCTTCCTCAGACAAAAGTAAGCCTTTATGCTCCAGGGGTTAGTGTTAGTCCCTTGTTTTACTTGTACAAACTCAGTGAATTAAACCAATGTCAGGATTAGAATGTAGGTCTTTAATTCTTCCACGTCCCCAGTGCTCCTATGCAGAAGGCCATGTTGATATATATCATTTCATCACTAACAAATTCAGAACTACATCTATTACAATGTTTAGGTTAAACAGTAAAAGCTGCCAAAATGAAGATTTAAAACTAGATTTCAGAAAATCTTTAATTGACTTAAAGTTAATAAAAGCTTTATCAGCTTTGATTCTTCCAAAAGGATAGACAGTTTGCTACTATATTACTGCTTGACTCTACACAGTTTATTTTAGATAATGTACTTCCAGAAGATATGAATGATAATATTTACCCTTTTAACCCTAATCAAAGATGACTTTGAATATAGGACAACCCCTTCCAGTAATTCTACACATGGAAAATTATGAATTTGTTATAATATTCCATTAATCAAATCTACTTCATGGAAGGTCATCTTAAATTCATCCCACTCCACTGCTGTGGTTCAAAAAGCAGCAAGGGGCCAGACACCTGCTCCCTCACCCCTTGTGCTCCTCTGCCCATCTCTGCCAAGCTCCCTGCTGCCTGTCCCTCCCCATGAGCCCCCCCTGCCACCTGCCCCTCCTACACCCTCCATCCCCCCCACCGCCATTCCTCCATGCAGCCTGCCCCCCACGCCATCTGGATTTAATTACAATTATTCTAAGAATACCTAGGAGAACCTAAGCATTTTAGTCCTGCTCACTTTTCGTGGAAGTCACAGAACACAACTAACAAGGTTGTCCAGGAACAACATAGCTATGAATCACCCTAGAAGTAAACCTAGACAAGGTCTGTCATTTACTCAGAGATCCTGTTTTCCTCCTTACTCACTCAGAGCATGGGTATGTGCATGGAGCAGGAGTGTTAATCAGAATGTGAGAGTAATTTAACAGAGACCTATACAAGCAAAAAAGCTAATTTCCCTCTTCATGTCTGCCAAGTTCTACTAACTAGCACACTGGACAGGGAGGAGGCAGTGGCAAAGGAAAACCAGAGTATCAAACAGAAACATTGGCGCCACAAAGCCTGTTTTCTTCCTATGTTCTAACCACTCACACAAGTAATATAGGGGTACGTTATGCCCTCTGATTCACCACAGCATAGAATAAATCTTCTCCATAATGTTTATTATGCACAGAGAACCTTGGAAATATTCATGAATACATATTTTCAAAAGAAGTTTTAGAACAAAAAATGTAATACATATATTTTCCTCCCAAAAGAAAGTAAAGTTTTTTGAGTTACAGCAAACTTGAAGCAGCAGACAGAGGAAAGAAAAATATTTTCAAAAAGAGGTCAAGCTGCCAATAGTGTTTGAAGAAAACTGTCACACAGACAGGGGAAAAGAAAAAAGGACAAGAAGCAAAAACTTCTAAGGATAAGTGGCAACACTAAGTTATTCAACCTGCTACAAACATTTTTCCATAGAAACCAATTAAACCAGAGGAGGCTAATGGAAAAAAGCAGCAGCCCAGGGGAAAAAAGTAGATGCTAGTAAAAAGCTGAAGTTGAAAGCATGCTGGAACCAGCTGGAAATTAAAAGGCAAATAGACAGAACTGCCAGTGAGAACTGCAAGCTTAAATGAAGAATCAAAATAAGCTTTACAAAAGGAAGTACTGCATTAAAATGTTTAATTTTAAAGTGATATCTTTTCACAATCACCGTAATACAGCTATTTCTGGAGTAAATGCAGCAACTATTTAACAGCATAGAGTGACACTACGCAGCATTTTAGTTTAGCAAATCATCACCATTATATCCAAACAGAATTTTTTTTGCTAAATACCGTAATGAGCAATGTTTCAAAGAGACAAGATGATTTATAAAACCTACTTGGTAAGTAACTGAGCCTTCTGCTGTAGAAAACTCTCCCTGTGTGTTTTAATGGCATGAATGCTTTTCTTGTCCAGCAGTTTGGCAGCAGCTGGCATTTTCTGAATCAGAAAGTTATCAGCAAACCAAATAATATTAGCAGTTAATGTGACAGCTGGCACCTAAAGCATCAAAAAAGAAAAATGTGGAAAAACAACAAGCAACATTAGAGTGGATGTGATAGTCTGCTAAATCAAAATTTTGCTATTTAAAGCTGAAATGCTATAACCCTAGGGCTTAGAAACTTTTTTTTTTTTTTTACTTGTGTATCACTATCAAAATGTTCATTCTGATTAACAACAAAAAATTATTCAAGCAATTGTTGGTCATCTGTGTGACAGAAGTGCTAAGCTTATGTAAAAATCAGTTCCTGCCCTGAAAAGCTTATAATGTACATCACTATGAAGAGCTATTACTGTTAAGTGTTCCTCAACTATGCTAGACCTAGCATCCAATAATATGATCCTGTATTTTGAATGAACAAGGAACCAAGCCTATAGCAGTTAGGTCCTTTCATTTTCCATTAAAAACATTTTAAAAAAATAAATAAATAAATAAATAAATCAGATGGCTAATTGATATCAATCCCTTAATCAGTTGGGAGGGGGGAAAGAATACATATAAAAAACAATGCACGAGGGGACAGGTGCCATTTTCTGTCCTTGACATTAACTTGCTTTAATAATGACGAGAGATTTCACTGGCAAACTTAGCCAAGCCCCTTGAAAGCATAACTCAGACTAAAAAACCAGACAGTTTAAATGTGTCCAAGTATAGCATCAAGGTAAATACCCTTAACAAACAGAGATAAGGCCAAAACAGAATCCTTTTGTACTTCTGTTGGCAGGCTCTACCCATACCATATTTCAATAAAAACTAAGAATTTACTTCAACATGCTTTGAAGACACTTTTTAAAATTAAGGAAACAGCAAATTTTTCACCTTTTTGCATACATCCAGTAATGATTTGTAAAATTTCTTGTCTACAGTCCGAAAAATCTGAAAGTGCAATACAAAGAGCCCACAAATTCCTATGTATTTATCTCTCTGGTCAATTTCTGAGGGTTCACCTTGTACAAAAGACAAACAAAAGAAATATTTTTGAAGACTACTTCCATACAAACAATGTTTTTTATATAAATAATATAGTCAACATGAAAAAAATGCATCTAGCATTACCAAGTTTGGCTTCAACATTCGCAAAAATTGTGTGAATACTATGTGCAAATTCTTCAGCAAAAGTGCTATTCTTTGACACAGACACTCCTCCATTGAGAGAATCAAACTGTTGTTCTATGCAGGCCTGAACAAAGACAAGAAAAGAAGACCCATTCTCAATGCTAGTCCCATGAAGTCTGGGCTTCCAGTAAATACTGTTACTGTTAACAGATTTTCTGTAAATTCTAAATTTAAAAAAAGCGGAAAGTTAATATAATTTGTTTCTGATTTATGACACAGGTTGAATTTTAGAGCTAGGAAAGGCTTTAAGCAATAATTTGTTTTTTTACATTTTTAATTTACCTTTTTGCTTATGTACAGCACAGATGCCTCAGTGATGACAAAATTATATACATTTCTTAAATACACTTTAGTAAACATCTCTTTACTGATTAAGGATGCTACCCTTTTTTTTTTTTTTGAGGGAGTGAAATCATCAAACAGGTATTCAGGAACAAGACAGGTATTGTACATCTTCAGATAGGTGAACAATAAAGTTTGTTGATAAATGCTGGAAAATGACAGACTTCTATTTTCTTTACATTTTCTTTGTTTTGAGTAAGGAGGAAAAAAGGGTGCTTTGGATGCATCTCAGACAAATTCCCATTGAGCCCCCAAAATTAAACATAAAACAGTCTTTGTGCAAGCGGGACACTGGAGACATCTGAAATGGAAAATTCATTGTGAATAGCTGGCAATAAAACAAGAAGTACTTCTTATAATGAATAAACTGAAATTACTTGAAAACCTTGCTTAATTACAATTTGTATTTCGGAGGCTATACCAGGTGGGGAATGATCTTACTGATGTCATTTAAGATGTACTGCTAAGGTAAGACCTAAGAAAAAACCAACAGACTTGTCCATCTTACTTAAGTGGAACAAGAAACGGTATACAATTTCAAATTCAGATATTAAAATATTACCACATGCTCTCTCAGCTGGCATAAGCTGCACAGATCCAGAATCAATGGAACTATGATAATTCCCACGAGCTGAACTTAAACTTTCATGTTCATGAGTTTATGACCGAAGACAACAAGATTTCTGAAGCGCTTTAATTCATGCAATTTAATTCAACAATCTGGAAGATGACATGGAGCACATCCTCAGCAAGTTTGTGGATAACACCAACCTGGATGTGGGGAGTAGATATGCTGGAGGGTAGGACTAGGATTCGGGGAGACCTCAACAAATTGGAGGACTGGACCAAAAGAAATTGCATGAAGTTCAATAAGAAGTGCAAAGTCCTGAACTTAGGACAGAAAAATCCCATGCACTGGTACATACTGGGGATCAACTAGCTATGCAGCAGCTCTGCAGAAAAGGACCTGGGGGTTACAGTGGACAATAAGCTGAATATGAAACAACAATGCACCCTTGTTGCCAAAAAAGCTAACAACATCCTGGGCTGCGTTAGTAGTATTGTTGCCAGGAGATCAAAGGAAGTGATTATTCTCCTCTATTTGGCACTGGTGAGGCTACATCAGAATAGTGCATCCACTTTTGGGCCCCCCGACTACAGAAAGGCTATGGTCAAATTGGAGGGAGTCCAGCAGAGGGCAACACAAAAGGTTAGGGGTGTGGGGCACATGACTTCTTAGTAGAGGCTGAGGGAACTGGGCTTATTCAGGAGAAGAGAAGACTGAGGCAGTACTTAGTAACAGTCTTCAACTACCTGAAGGGTGCTTCCAAAGATAATGGAGCTAGATTGTTCTCGGTGGTGACAGATGACAGAACAAGTAGCAATGATCTCAAGTTGCAGCAAGGGAAGACTTAAGACTAAGTTAAATATTAGGAAAAGCTCTCTCACTAGGAGGGTAGTAAAGCACTGGAACAGGCTACCCAGAGAGGTTGTGGAATCTCCATCTTTGGAGGTTTTTAAAAACATAAGGAGACAAAGCTTTGGCTGGGACAATATAGTTGGGGATGGCCCTGTTTTGAGCAGGGGGTTGGACTAGATGACGTCCTGAGGTCCCTTCCAACTCTCATTTTCTAAGATTCTACGCTGCTCATGACTCAAATTAAAATAGAAAAACATGCAATTCGTAGCTTGAGACTACTCAGACATCTCAAATCTAATCCGTTTCCTACATGATCTGCTACAGTGAGATGGCAGCATTACTGCAGAAGCTGAGAAACTGAATGAGATTGTTGCAAAATAAGATGGCAATTCTTATACCAGCATAACTTTCACTGAATTTATTTTGCGAGCAAAGAGCTTTGTGTAATAATTTGCTGTTCAGTACCAATTAGTTTGATCAACAGTTTATCCTAAATATCTGTTGATATTAATCATCACAATTGCAAATACATGCATGGTGGGGAGTTGCCTTGTAGAGGCTTACAAGCTTGTATTTAAACTGTATTTTGAAAAACAAGTATTACACAAAAACTACTTGTATATAGATATCAAGCTGAAAAGGACAGGGGACAATTTTCTTTTACCTACATTTTGTCATGTGTACAAAGTTTATGACTTAAGGTGTACAATAAGAGGCTGTTGCCAAAAATACATAAGCAGGGATTTTAATAGTCAAAAATAGTATTTCTGCAAGAAGAAAATAAATAAAGGAAGCCATATTCAGCAAAGCAGCCTTAGCTTGGATCTGTATGGCATATGTCGCAGCCCTTTTCTGTTGAAAACAGTGTTTCAGACCTCAAATGTGCAGTCTGCTATGCCAATTGTTGCATGGTGTTTTCATTATTTTGCATATCAATATACATTCTTCCTAGTAACCAGTGAGACAGATCGTTAATTAAGCCATTCAAAGCCTGGTACGGTTCAGATGCATGAGGATGCCAAAGAAGGAATTCACAAATAGAGTATTTTGTGTGTGTAATTAAATACTCCGTTACAGTTAGTCAGATTAGGAGAAAGTCAAATTCATATATGAAAATACCACCACTTAAGGAAAAAAATGAAGCATTTACAAGCACAAAGCATTTTAGAAACTGTGTTCCATTTTAACAGCTTCTCCACTGCACTGTTCATCTTGTACTAATTTAAACCTCACTGCTTTACCTGGAATATCATTCCATCAAGTAACTGGCCTTCCAGTTTTAATAACAACTTCTCAAATGGCTTCAGTTTATCTTCCTGAATCCCAAACTTAGATGGGTTGTGATGGACCGATTTTAATAACCTTCAGAAAGGACAAACATTACAATTAAAAGCATTGCTCATCACATCTTTGGTTTTGATGAACCCTCAGTTCAAAGAGAGATTGCAAACAGACCTTATGTAAGTGTCTTTGCCCACCTAATGCCAAGTAAATCAAAGGTCCACATAAGCCTAGCAGCCCACTATGCTAGTGAGTTCAAGCATATCTGTTTTTGTAGCCATCACACCAGCCACTTTTGAACTCCCCTCCCATTTACAGTTAAATGAATACAGACACCTTTTGGAGGATTAGATCTCATTCTTCTGGAACAGTATTAAGATGCCTTGACCACTCCACTACCATGCCCCAATATCAACCAATGATACTGCAAGTTAACAATGCGCTGTGTTAGCGTAACTAATTTGAAGGACTGAGTTTAAGTGAAAGCACAATTCACCTTTTGAGGATTTCAGTGAAACTGAATTGATTTTCCAATATTATTATTTCCTACATTGCACCTGATCCTGTAAACTTGCCTGCAGCAAGTATTCCCATTGAAGTCCATACAACTTCTCCCTCAATTCAAGTATTACAGGACAGGCTTTTAATTCTAGTGGGTGCATCTGCACATGCGCTTTACTGAAAAGTTGACTAAATAGCTCCACAGTAAAGCATCACTGTCTACACATGTGCTGGCATTAGGGCACAGTAAATTAACTCCATAGTAAGATAGTACTGTTGGGAATAATACTATCTTACGGCAGAGTTATTTACTGTGCAGAAATGCATATGTAAAGGGTGACAGGAGCTGGCTGGGACACAAGGGTGCTAAAGTGTGGGGGCTGCCTGCAACATGGGTCCACACTTTAGTACCCTCATGCCCCACCCAGCCCTTCTGCCACACAACACTGCCATTGAGCCCAGGGCTGGCCCCCCACTCCCTCAAGCCTGCTGCCAGCCTGGAGCTGCTCTACCATGGCTCAAACTGCTGCAGTCCCTCATGCACATGTAGATACTGCACCAAGGAGCAGCTGACGCCAGCTCAAAGTGCTCCACAGTTTACTGAGTCGCATTAATTTCACATGTAGATGCACCCAGCGTAAACTTTTCCTTTGAGGTTACGCATTATTTTCAAATATGCCATGTCTCTCAGCAGACAATTCTTCCAATTAATACCTTGAAAGCATTCAAGCTCAGTGGTATTATTCATACAAATTTAGATTTAGCATTGTAAAATATTTACTAGGGACATTAAAAAAGTACAGGGAAGGCCCAACCAGCAGCTCACAATGGTGTCTGTGACAAAACTCAGCAATACGTGATCAAGTTCGGGAAGGCTAGTAAATATCAGGGCTAGCAACTTCAGGTTTTTCAGTCAAAAAAAATCATCCAACAAATATTCTTACAACATAAATATTGCAAATACATTTTGCTGAGGCTTCAAAGACTCACCTTTTGTACATGGTCCAGTGGTCCTTCAGGGTGGCATGATTGTCAATTATTTCATCCAGCGTGATTAAGACTGTCAGCAGCTCTCCTAAATGCTCATACAGAGTCTGTTCAAGAAAAGCCAAAAGTTATTTACAGGTTTATTATGATACCAGATATAGTAAAATATCTGCACTAGCTTGCAAGATATGGGATATTAAACTTCAGGTGCTATTGATTACAACAGGTTCCTTGCTACACAGTTCAGCAATGCACTGTGTTTTAGGTGCCATGACTTGATATCTGTTTTTCTTGGATGTTATTCTAATAAAGATCTGACCGCCTATTTTTGTGGCTGCACGAGAATGTTATAGTTATAAGATCACTAATTTGATTTGACACTGAAGGTAAGATTTTTTTAAAATGTACACATAACATAAAAGTACAAGTTGCAAACACTTTTTGAGACAAGAAATTCAGTATTTGTCAGACTTTGATATACTGGTTTTCATTTAAAGACCACAAAACACAATTGGATAAGTCAATCTTTAAAGCAACATTCAAACACATTGCAAATGATATTTGAATTTGCTTTCCTATTCTCTTTCAAACAGCTCTGAATTAAGGCTTAAAATGAAAAGCTTCTAAATCATCCTCACCTGAAAGTGAACTCCTGATGTCTCTATAA